AAATTTCTGAAACCAGAATTGCTGAGTCGAGGGTTATGCATGTTTTAAGTTTCAGGATGCGTGTTACGGCGTGTTTAAACACAGCCCTTAAAAGCCTGTGTTAGCCTGGTCTCCCCGGCACGGCTGTTACAAAGTTATCCATTATGGGCTCTGGGCTGATGCAAGGTCGTCACCCACCAGAGGCTTGGGGTTTGGTGAGCTACTGGTCTGAGCAAGTGGTTTTTAAACCTGCCAAGTTGTTGAAGTTTTTAAGAGCATTCTCATGTACATTTTCCCATTGTAATAGACACTTCCTCCTCAGAGCCTCTCAAAGCATCAGGAAAGGTAGAAGCAGGTGGATGTTGGGGGCTGGAAGGACCTCCAGGACAGGAACTCGGCGTCCCAGTGCTGCCTCTTCTTCACTGGGAGAACTAAGAGCCAGACAGCAATTCCTGTCTCTATGCCTCAGTTTCTCATATGAAAACGGTCAACTGAATCAACTCAAGAGTCCTTCTTGCTTTAAAGGACACAATCATGGGTGCACATCACGAGAGCCTGGCTCATGTTCCAGACGGGGGACTCCCCGGGACACCTGTGTGCCTTAGATGGGTGCGTCTTCATCGTGAGTTTATCAGGTGTGTGTTCAGACAACCCGGTCGGTATCTACTTGCCTGCGGACAGTGAGGGTTTTTGTAGCAGCTTCTGAGGCAAAACTGAATTGGAAGAATATCCTGCCTTTGAGCTAATTACAAATCTGACTTTTCTAGAAGAGTTTTGGGGCCCTTTGGTGGTTGATCTCCAGGCCTCCCAACCCTGGGAGCAAAGCTCAAGCCTCGCTTGTTTGAAGAGCTGCCAGGGTCTGCCAGAGGGAGGAGGCATGAATAATTTGCAGTGCACACAAGGTTACCAGGATACTCACCGGAGAAAGTGCTGATAAACGGTTTGCTTTCTTAAGCCTTATTTATAAGATGAATTCCCTTAGATCATCCTAATCCCTGAATTACTCCAAACTTAGGGGGTCTGTGTTAAAGAGTATGGCATTCAGCCAAATACTTAACATCTGCTTTGTCCAGACACGAAGGCACAGAGAGGTGAAGTCACTTGCCCAGCGTCACACAGCTACTGTGTAATGAATCCAGACATTCTGGATCCAGAAACAGTGCTCGTCCAAGGGAGACTGGAAAGAAACAGGTCAATTATAATTATTATATTGTGGGAAGCTGTACAGCAGTGCCGTCCTCCAGAACTTTTCTGCAGTGATGGGAATACTCTGGAGCTGTGCTGTTCACTGTGGTAGCCCCATGGGGCTATGGAGCCCTTGAAGTGGCTAGTGCCACTGAGGGACTGAATTCTTTGTATTTTTAAATTTGAACAGATTTAAATTAAATTTGAATAGCCACATGTGGCTAGCGGCTACCATCTTGAATAGCACGGATAGAGAGACTTGAGATCTAGGGGATGGTTCAGGGAGGGCTTCCTGGAAGAAGAGCCATCAAAGTTGAAATCTGAAGGATAGCCGGGAGGTAGCGGCTGCTCCAGCAGGTCTGGAGGTGAGAGAGAGTGAGTGGCCTGGGGCACATGAGGGTGGCACAGCTAGTGGAAGGGCCTGGAAGGGGCAGGGGATGGGGCGGAGCGGGGGGAAGAGCCCCATTGATGAAGGTCCCACAAGCCATTTTTAAGGTGCTTGGACTTCACCCTGAGGGATATGGGCTATTAAAGGGCTTTGGCAGGGACCCTGCAGGCCCAGATTTTGGTTTTGGGAAGTGTCATGGGAGGAACCGAAAGTGAGGGAGGCAGGGAGACCCTGGAGCTGGCCGAGGCTGGACAGAAAGTTCGGGAAGGAGACTTTGAAGGACTGGGGGAGTGAGGGAGAGAGGAGTCAGGGGTGCTACCCTTGGGAATCTGAAGTGTGGCATTAGGCGGTGGAGGCAGAAGGCATGCATCCCTGCCCGTGGGGGTCCCACAGCCCTGTGCGCGAATCCTAAACCTCTGCAGGAGGGCCCACAGACAGGGATGGATGGAAACCCACCTGTGGTTGCTGAACACCATTAATGTCCGGCTCCCACCTCCCTTGCCTCCAGGCCATCCGAAGGAGGCCAGAAAGCAACTTGCCTGCCTCCCGCCCTGAGTCGTCCACCCTCAGCATCCTACCCACCTTGCCATTCCGATTTCCAGAGGCCCCACCTGGACCTCCCTTCCTCCATCCCTGAGTACTGAAAGATTCCCCCGTCCCCCGGTGGGGAGAGGACTATGAAAATGGTTCTGATTGGGGTGCCTGGGTGGCTCAGATGGTTAAGCGTCTGCCTTCGGCTCAGGTCATGATCTCAGGGTCCTGGGATCGAGCCCCGCATCGGGCTCCCTGCTCAGCGGAGAGTCTGCTTCTCCTTCTCCCTCTACTTGTGCTCTGTCTGTCTGTCTGTCTGTCTCTCTCAAAATGAATAAATAAAATCTTTTTTACATCTTTAAAAAAAAAAAGAAAAGAAAATGGTTCTGATACCTGGCTCCTGGCTCCTAAGCCGAATGATTTCCAGAGACCTCTTTGAAGACACACAACAACCCTTGCTTTTCTAATAGAGTGACGCTTGAATGCCAGGCCACACAGCAGGAGCAGAGCAGAGACAACAAGGACTCCCCTTCCCCTGAGCTGTGACCCAGAGCTGTCAACCCCGTGCCTCCTGTGATCTTAGCATGGGGTTGGCGGGGGGCGGGACACACCCAAGCCCCCTGCAGGAGCTCAGGGCAGCAATGCCAAGCCCACCAGAAGGAATCCCTGAGTCCCCACCCTCTGGCTTCTGAATCTGACCCATGTAGGGGATTAAGTTAGGGAATGCCCGATTCTGTGACATCTTTGAAAAACAGTATTTTAACTGGGAGCATGCGCAGATGACCACTTCCCTTCCTGGGTGCCAGGGAGAATTCTGTTCAGGGTGCGGGCGTCTGAGACTGTCAGGTGATCTTTCAAGGCAAAAACCTCCCGAGTTTCCCCGAGTGGAGACTGACTTCATCCCTAAAGCGTGCATACCCCCCCCCACACACACACACTGCCCATGGGCTTGGCGATTGGGCAGCCTGTCCCAAGGCCCCCTCGCTCATCAGGAGCCAAAGCCTTAAAAATAGGCCACCCCTTGACCTGGTGATTCTGTACTTAGGAATCTCTCTTGTGGGGAATAATCACAGAGATGTGTCACTTGAGCCTCAAGGATGTTCGTCACATTGTTTAGAATAGGGAAAAATATTTAGCAACCTAAATGCCCAGCGCTTGGGGATTGGTCCCATGAATGGCGCTGAGTCCATCCAGTAGGATCTTCTTCAGCCGTTTAAAGGTGAGGATCTGGATGAAGTGACACAGGGGAAATTCCGGGCAGGACTGTGCCAGAGTATTGCCCATGGGTGACGGGTATTTTTAAAGCGTTTCTCTTTGTGCGTTTCTAGAATTTCTAAATGTTTTACAACAAACACATATTCTTTTGGTGACTAGAGAAAGTGTTCTGTGGGCAGTGAGTGGTGTTGGGTTGTTTGGACATTAAGCTGTTATTGGGGTCCTCGAGTGTGGCTGTTTATCAGAGGTGGCTGAGGGCTTAATTCTGAATTCCTGTCCTTGCACACACCCCTCCCACAGCACCCCCTTGAGCATCCCGGGGTACACAAGTATCCCCAAATGGTTCGTTCCCCTGGACCACACAGGCTTGTTCCGCCAAAAACGGTTTTGTAGAAGCTGCAAAAAGGCATGGAGTGTGAGCAAAGATGATAGAACATCCCGACCTCGTGCTAAGTTACAGACTCTGAGGGGCTTCGTCTGTGCCGTGACCCGCCCCCCCTGCCTGCCACCAAGCCCAGTTCCCTGGTGCCTGGCACATAGTAAGCGCTCAGTAAATTTCTATGGAGTAAATAACTTCGATGTCGAACTTTACCTGGTACAACAGTGAGTCCAGGGTAGGCAGGAAGAGCTCAGCAGGGGGAGAGATCACTGGGTTGTAATGGTTTTGACCGACAGGATGGGTAAAGAAGAGGGAGGGGCGCAAGCAAACCCGCAGAGGCTGGGATGTGTGAGGAGGTCAGGGAGGGTGGGAGGAAGGGTTTGTTTGGGGTGGGGTGGGAGATGGGACTGGAGAGGAAATTTGGGGCTCAACTACAGGGCTATTGGATTTCCGCCGGAGGACAATAGGGAGCCATTGAAGGTTGTTGAGCAGGGAATGGGCTTTTAATTCGCTGAAAGTGAACAAGGTAGGGAAGCCAGCAGTTCAGACATTTAATGGAGCTCCGTGGCTGCCCACGCTGTGCCAGCACTCCTTCCAAGTGCCCTGGGCAAGGGCACAGGCAGCAACTGAGCAGGCAGTGATAGCCGAGGGACCCCAGGTTGCCTGGGGTGCAGTGGTTACTGGTTTGGACGTGGACCCAAGCCTCCTGTCCGGGTTTGAGGTCTGCTTCGCCATGCACTGGCTGTTTGGTTTGGGACATGTCTCTTCACCAATCTGAGTCTCAGTGTTCTCATCTGGAAAATGGGATTGTAATAAGGATGGCCATGGAACTTCAGTTCAGTGAGGTAGTGTGCAAACAGCTTGGTCAAAGCTGGGCACAGTTAAATGCTCCGCGGATGCTGTGTTGGAAGCGTGGTGGTGGTGGGAACCCAGGGGCGGGGGACAGCTGAGGGAGTGCCCTAACCAGGTGGACAAGTCCTGGGAGACCCAAGATGGAGAGAAGATGGTCCTGCATGTGGTGCTAGGCGGACAGAGGGGCACTGAGGTTGGGCAGCATGGTGCCCAGCAGGACCCTGCATGGGTGACGCCTTCATCCCAGCTTGCTTGCCTTTAACACCGACCGTCCTGCCTCCTGTGGTGTCTTGGGCACATTGGGACAGTTGGTCACCCTAATGCCCACCCCAGACGTCTGCACCGGCCTCTAAGCACAGTAGAGAGCTGGGGCGGGTTTGAGCCGGGGGCAATGCCATGTGATCTGTGTCAGCCGGGGGACCAGGTTCTGAGCATTGACGGGAATCTCTCCCCTCTGGCTTGTCTCTGCAGGACCAGCTGAAGCAGTGTTTCTCCAGGCGGCCCCCCGAGGCCAAGGACACCGACACCCTTGTGCAGGAAGCCGACAGCCAGTATGGGACATGGACAGACCAGCGCCAGAGCGGGGAGAGGTAGGGCCTGCGGGGCTCCTGGCTGCAGGGTGGCGCGTCTGGATGGAAGGCAGCGTGGCCCACGTGCCCCCTCATTTCTATATTCCTCGAACCTGTGTTGTCTGTAGGTAGCAGCGTAATCCATTCTTGTCCGAAAAAAAATTTAGAAAGTACAAAAAAATTATTTTAAAAGGATATACGAAATGTCCAGAATAGGTAAATCCATAGAGACAGAGAGTAGATTAGGTGCCAGGGGCTGGGGGTGGGTTAAGTGCCAGGCTTCCTTTTGGGAAGATGTCCTAGAACTGTATTGTGGTCGTGCCTACACCACACGGTCAGCATGCTCAATGTCACTGACAGTCACCTTGACGTTATGTGTATTTGGCCAAAAGTACAAAGAAAATGAAAACACCTGTAACCCCAGCACACGGGTCATTAATGAAGGCACTGATGCTTCTTGCTAGACGTCTGTCTAGACTTTTTTTTTTCAGTAAGTCCGTGTGTGTTTACAAACAGAGGAGCATGCCCCACATGTTGCTTCATAAGCTGTCTTGCATTTAACATCGCCCCAGTTGATGGCCTGTAGGGCCCTCAGATGTCTGCCTGATACAGGAGGCAGGCAGCCCCGAATCCCGGCTCCACCCCAGCTGCCGATGGGACTCTGGGTAACTGAGTTATATGCCTTCCAGAGTTGACATTCCTCCCCTGTAGGAAGGGAATGATGCTTGTAAAAACAGCCGGGCTTTATTGAGCGTACGTGCCAAGCACTGTTGTAAGCACGTAAATGTGTTAACGTCTAATCCTGTTGCCCCATCTTGCAGAGGTGAAGGCTGAGGCACCCCATCACACGGGGCTGTTGTCAGGGGAACCTGTGGGCAATTAGCATATTTCCTGGCACGTAGTAGGAGCACCTGCTCATAGCCCCGTTCATTATTTTAAAAGTACAATTTTTCTTCTCCCCCTGGGGCGGGATCGAGCACAGGAGTGGCTTCGTGGACACATGGGGTGGACAGTGCCGTGTTCTCAGCTCACGTCTTCCCTAGCCCAGGGCCCTGGGATCGCGTGGTCACGCCACCACGGTCAGGGTTGCGTGGTCTTTTGAAGTCAGAGAGACCTGGGTTGCCTCCGGCATGGCCCTGTGCTGGCCGTGTCTCTGTGTGACTCGGTTTCCTCGCCTGTGGTTGGTATGCCCAGGGATCGGGCAGACTCAACCCCAGGTCCCCCACCTGCTTCCCCTGCGCTTCCAGCCGGGAGTGGTCGTCACAAGCCTCTACTGGGTTATGTCCCACAGCCGACGATGTGAAAGTCGGATGGAGGTGGATGGAATTGAAAATGGGTATGAAGAAGACAAAAGGAAGCAAAGGTGATACCCGTGTAGTACCTGTGAAAGCCTTTTCTCGCCGAACCCGTGACATGGGTGCCGTTAATGAGCGTCCTTAAATATCACTAGACTTCACTTAGATTTCCTGCAAGAGCCCTCTGGACTCTGAGTCCGGAAGCCTGCGTCTCGGTTTTGCCCCGCTCCTGAGCCTCCGTTCCCCGCAGCTGGCCTCTGGGACCTGGGGCCGCTCCTGTGGGTGGGCGCCCCCTTTTGTTCCCCGGAGGTACTGCAGCGCCCCCTCCCTGGCCCGTCCCATCCCGCAGTCGCGCGTCCCCAGCCCTGGTCAGCAGCGCCATCTGCTGCCTTCTCGGTGGTATTTCCCTCTTGTCTGGCGAAGGTGGGGGGTTTGCTTCAGTCCCACCCCGCACCCCCACATCCTGCCTGTTCCGAGTAATAAAATCATCCCAGGGCGGACAGAGTTTGGATGTGCTCCCGCCGTGAAGCACCAGGATAGGTTCTGGGCAGGGGTGCGGCCCTGCTTCCAGGGCAGACCCTCCTCTCAGGAGGTGGTGTCCCGTGCCCGGCTGCCCTTCCTCAGGGTTGGCTCTCCCATGCTCTTGACTTTGGTGTCTTTTTAATGGGGAGTGCTTTTTAGCATAATGACTTAACTTATTTTTACATTTCTGTCTTATGTGGTTCCAGTTATCCGAGCCGTACTTAAATACATTACCATGGGAAGAAATCCCAGAAGTCGGAGAGGGTCAAGGGCATGGATTCCGGAGTGAGTTCTGCCCCTTTGGGCAAAGCCACTTCACATCTCTGTGCCTTGGTTTCCTCGTCTTTAGCGAGGTTAATATTTAACTTCCCGGGGCTAATCCTACCTGATAGCATTGTGGCGGCCTCGCAGGATTGGGGAGAGGATTCAGTGATTCAGTGGGTAGCAGGGCCTGGCACGTAGTAAGTGCTCAGTAACTCTTGACTGAATGCATGCATGAATGAATGGAACCATGCAGAAAATTCCCCTGCTTCCTGCTCTACCAGAAGGGACTGGTGATTTTTTGATCGACGTCAGCGCTGTCCAACAGAAATACAACTCGAGCCACAAACACAAGGTGTGGGTCATTTAAGATGTCCCAGGAGCCACCTCAAAAGAGTAAAAAAGAAACATCTTAACAATTTAAATAACAATATTTTAGCGAATCCAGATCCGAAATATTATCAGTTCAACATGCATCAGTATTTTATATTCTCTTTCTCTCTTTTTTTTTTTCCAAAGTGGTGGGAATCCAGTGTGCACTCTATACTCTGGGCTCACACTCGCCACATGGCGAGGGCCCAGTCGCCACGTGTGCCCAGTGTCTCCCGCCCTCCTGCCCAGGGCAGGGTTGGAGGGTCTGGAATGGGACCGGACCAGCCCCTCCCATTCCATCCCTGTCCAGGTGTTCTGGAGGCACCACGAACAGCGCCAGGCCTGCCCAGAAAGGACATAGCCTACGGGGATGTCCTGTGTCTTAGAAAGCACAGCCTGAACCTGCTTTCTGCACCTCCTCTGCTGGAAATTCAGTTCTGTCCAACCACCTGCACAAATGAGGTCTCCCTTCCTTCCTTTCTCATAGTCTGGCCCCCGAGTCCCCGTCCCCGGACAGCAGTGCCGTGTCGGCCCGGAAGCAGCTCCCCAGCAGCCGCTTGTCCTCCCTGTCCTCCCAAACGGAGGCCACCTCGGCCGGGGACCAGCACAGCTGCTCCAGAGACCAGCGGAGCACCAGCGTGGACCAATCCAGTACCGATTTGGAATCCACGGATGGGATGGAGGGGCTGCCTCCGCCAGACCCCTGCCCCGTGAAGAGGGTGGACGACTTCTCCTTCATTGATGTAAGTCTGTAACTGGGAGCGTGTGTTGGAAAGAGTCCTTTCTTCTTAAAGGGATGCTCTGGCATCTCCCAGTGGGTGGCCCCTCTCAGGGGCAGAATCTGTGTGCCAGGGACCCCTGTGGTGGGTGTAGAGGGAACAGTCTTTGCGATGGGACTGATGTCTGTGTGTAGCTTGCACCTGCCACACACCAGCTGTGTGTCTTGGGGCACACGTCTTCACCTCTCTGAGCCTTGGCTTCCTCACCCACTGATAACCGGCACAGTGGGCTCCACGACCTCCAATATAATCACATGGGTTCAAATTAAACCTGATCCTAGCCCCCACGTGTTTGGTAAGCAGGAAGTCTGGCGCCTCATCTCCGGGGGCTTGGAGACAGTTGGGGGGTGAGCTGCCTGAGGTTTGCAATTCCAGGTGTGCAGAGTCTGGAGTTTTGCTCAGACCCATTCTGCTGGGTGTTCTCACCAAGGCCTTGCTCGGTGGGACGTGTCTCTGATGCCTGCAGATCCAAGTCTCTCTGTAAATGGGTAGTGGCAGCTCCGGGAAGGGGGACCCTTCAGGCATAGATAGCCCTCATGTGGGTCCCCGGGGGCAGCCCCTAGAACTCAGCTCTTCTAGGTCCCAAGCAGAACCAGCCTCCCGGATGCCAGCCGCCCAGGCCCAACGGCATCCCGCTGTAGCCCCTTCCAGACCAGTACCTGTCCTCTTTACTCCCACAGGAGCCCCACCTGCAGGGGGCAGGCACAGTTTCCTTTTCAATCCTCAAAGTCCCATTATTCTCCTCCCCTGACAGTAGGGCTACCCACCCCCCAGCCCACCCTCCTGTGGATGCATCATCTAAATGGTGCAAAACCTAAAAGCAACCCAGTCTCCTGGCAGTAAAGCCTCATGCCCACACCCTTAGGGATGGCTACCCAGATTCCCCCCCGGAGAAGGAACCCCCAGTGCTTTGGGAGAAGGGGCTTCCTCTGGATCCTCAAAGGGAATTCCCCCTTCTAACTACAGTCAGAGTCTCTTGCTGGCACCTCTGAATTAAGGGCAGAGATGGGGAAAGACACAAGTTTGGTCTCCCTTGGGCCACCCCATTATATAAACATGCACATGGTGTGGGTTGGAAGGATTCAGTTAGGTGATGTGTTCAGGTATTCATTCAACAAACATGTACCAAGGTCAAGCTGTGTGCCAGGCGTGGCTGTAGCTTACGTGCTTATAGGATGTCCCCGGGCCATGGCACAATCCGCTGGACTTACCTTCTAGAACACTAAGCCGTTCTTTCTCAGGGTCCATTATAAATACCAACAGTGGTGTCAACAGCCACTAGTCCCCGAGTGGTGAGACTGCTCATAGGCCAGTAGCCCCAAGAGGAAAAAATTCCTGCCCCATCCTGCAGATGGGAGAACCAACGTGGCCATTGGGTGACTCAAATGCGAGTGTCCCCGATCCCAGGTCTGGCTGCTTATTTATCACGTACTGAAGTCTACGGGCACTGCCCACCACAACTGGCGGCTCCTGTGGGGGCCGTTTGGAGGCTGAAAGGGAAGTTGAGGCACCAAGGCATCCGGGCCCTGCCCCAGCCCGTGGCCAAGGGGTAGCCCCGGGGAAACACACCCAGCTGCCCTGCAAGCCAGCTCCTTCCTGGGGCAGTTCCCTCCCCCCTTTCTCTGAGTCTGAAAAACTGGATCTGAGAAGCGATCCCCCAGTTTGGGACTTCCATCCCTCCCCCCCCCCAGCCCCATCAGCTCCCCCCACTGGCCGCCATTGTGACCACCTTGAGAAGAAGCTGCACAAACATCAGCTCCCTCCTCCCGCCCCCAGTGTGTCGTCTGCCACTTACCAACCAGTGGGAAATGATTCACCGAAATTAGCCCGTCATCGCTCCTTGAAAAGGCCTTGGCTGATGGAGCTTCTCCAAAGCAGACCCGAGAGGGAGGACCCCACATTTCAGGCGAGCACGGGAGATGGCCGGTAACAGCTGCTGCCTGTGTCAGCCTTGGTCAGACACTGTCTCAAACCAGGACTTGCCCCGCCTGGACTCACTGAATTCTCTCGACCACCGTGGGCGGCAGGTACTCCTGTGATCCCCTTTTCTACAAAGAGGGGCACCTCAGGGAGGTGAAGTCCGCGGCTCATGCAGCTAGGATTTGAACCGAGTGGGATTTGAACACAGAGCTCTAAGTTCTTCGCCTCCATTCCCCCAGGCGATCGCTGGGCCAGGGGCTGCCCCACCTCCTGGCTGGGCGCCCCTGGCTGGTGTGCCCCCCCGACACCTTTCGTCCCTCAGTCACGGACTGTCCACCTGCCTCTGCTCAGAGTGTGATGCTTGTAGGCAAAGGCTTGGCTCAAGTGCGTTGCTCTGCACCCTCTACCTGCCCCCCAAAGGAGGTTGTGGGTGGAGGGGGGACCGCACCGAGGATGCCTCAGCTCCCGGGCCCCGTGTGAATAGGGTTCCCACGAGGATTTAGTTAGATGATGTATCCAGTTATTCATTCAGCAAGCAAACAAACACTGATTGGGCCCCTGCTGTATACCGAGCAGGGGTTCCAGCTTCCATGCTCCTATGTCACCAGGAGGGAAAAGGCATTTTCATTCATGTCCACTCTGGGGCTGTGCCAGGGCCTTCAAGGCTCATGTGATCATTGTAACCAGCCTACGTGGTGTGTTTCGCGGAGTAATTGGGGCTTACGGTGTTGCGGTGGCCATAAAAATGTGAACATGTTGGCCCACGTTACCACCCACAGCATCTCGTGCGTCAGGGAAGCTCCCATGAGCGGCGCCCTCAACTAATGGTTCCCTTTGCTTTCTCCCTCTTCCTGCCTGCCCCTCCCAAAGCAAACCTCAGTCCTCGACTCAAGTGCCCTCAAGACCCGGGTGCAGCTCAGCAAGAGAAGCCGCCGCCGGGCTCCCATCTCCCACTCCCTCCGGCGCAGCCGAGTCAGTGAGTCGGAGAGCAGGTCTCCTTTGGAGGAGGAGGCTGACAACGTGTGGATGTTCAAGGACTCAACAGGTACTTCGTGTCCTCCCTTCTCCACAGATGCCACACTGAACAGCAGGACGGATTTAGGTTAGACACCAAGAAGAACTTCCTGACTTTGTAGGCTGTAGGATGTTAGAACACAGTTACATAGGAACCTGTGCTCTCTTATTGTACAGACCTTATTAGAAATTAGGTGAAAAAGGTTTTTTTCAGGATGATATATTCACTGGGGCTCCACGGGTTGTGAAGGACAGAGATACAACTTAATAGGTTTTTGCTGTTTCTGCCTTTATCCTTACTAAAGTCACTGATACCTTCTTGAGGTTTGTTTGCGGGTCTTTGCCCAGACTCTCGAGTTGAAAGACCAGTTCTATTTATCATCAGTCTTTATGTTTCCAATGAATTATTTTAAGGCTACTCATTTTCCTCTAAGGACTTTTTTGGCTGAGTCCTATGTCAAAACCTGAACTGAATCTCAAAGAGCCAAGAGGCATCAGCCAGGGAAGGGTATTCCATACAGAACACTGGGCTCAAAGGGGCAGGGGTGCGGGAAGCCCATCTCTGTGTGCAGCAGAGGTCTCTCTAAGCAGTTCAGGGCCGCTCACGCTGGGAATAGCAGGGGTCGTGCCGGAAAGGTGGGCAGAGGCCTGCTCATGGACAGTCGTGATTCCTTGCTAAGGAGTTCGACTTTGTCTGTGGATGGGGAGCCATGGAGGAGTGTTAAGAAGCAAAATCTCCTCTTGGAAACCATAGCAGGTGACCTCCCTGCTCTGCACATATGCTGTGGTGTGTCCCCCAAACACTTGCAGGGCCTTTGTTCACATGGGGTTTGTCCTCTCCTACCTCATGTTTATTATTCCCTCTCCTACCTCATGTTTATTATTATTATTATTATTATTATTAGTTTAAAGATTTTACTTATTTACTCGCGATAGAGCGAGAGAGAGCACGCACAGAGGGAGAGGGAGAGGCAGACGCCCCGTTGAGCAGGAGCCCAATGCGGGGCTCCATCCCAGGACCCTGGGATCATGATCTGAGCCAAAGGCAGCCGCTTAACTGACTGAGCCACCCAGGCACCCCCCCTCATGTTTATTATTAAAGGAAGTGTTTAAATGCCTTGATTGAGACCTCTGCACACTTTCTGGGTTTTCTGAGCCAAATTCCACCGAGCTGCCTGGAGCAAATAAAAACCAGCATGGGGACAGAATCACACCAGTACCCCTAGCTGGAACATGGCAGCAGCAGTCTGGTTCCCAGCAGCCTCAAGGAACCGGCCTGGGGCTGGGGGAGGCCTGGGGGTATGCTTTCTGAACACACCCCAGTTCCCTGCATGGCCTAGGGGCTCCAGGGGAGCAGGCCTTGCCTGGTTCCTCCTCGTCCATCCCCACCTCCTCCCCGCACTCCTCACTGCGCCCAAGCCCGGGCCAGGGCCTCCGGGAGGCTGAAACTCCTCACCCCTCACCCCCGGAGGAGTGGGGACAAACGGTCCATGTCGCCAAAGTCTCTCCTATGAGGCTGGAACATGGCAATGGAGTGAAGTCCCAGCAGTGGGGACTCTTGCGAAGGGAAGTGGCTTCTGGTTAGGCCTTCCACGAGACACATGAAGCCCTCCACGCCCTCTTCTGAGACCACCAGCCCCGTGCATTGCTGGCTGAAGGCGTTTCCGTCTCCTTGCCTCTCTGCCAGACTTCCTTCTCTTTCCCTGACTGGGAAGGAGCCAGGAGCCAGGAGGGGGGTCTGTCTGTGCCTTCTCCCAGGAGAACATCCGTCATACCGCATTGTCAGCCATGAGGAACCTGAGTTTGTCCTCATCCGTAAAATGGGCCAGTGATGACTTCCGGGCTGGGCTGGTGCGAGGACTGCATGAGGGACTTTGTGCAGAGGATCCGGTGGCTGCCAGTGACGTCAGTGCTCTTTTCTTTGCGACAGAAGAGAAATCTCCCAGGAGGGAAGAGTCCGATGAGGAGGAGGAGAAGCCCTCCAGGGCTGAGAGGACCCCCACCAGCCATCCGCAGAGGATGCCTGTGTTTCCAGGCATGGACCCGGCAGTGCTAAAGGTAACAAGCTTCACACCCAGAGCTACCCTCGACCTCGGCAGTGAGGAGAACAGGCCCCATGTGTCCTTCCCTCCCTCCCTTCCCCCTTCCCCCTTCCCCCTTCCCTCTTCCCTCTTCCCTCTTCCTTCCTTCCTTCCTTCCCTCCCTCTCTCCTTCCTCCCTTCCTTCCTTCCTTCCTCCCTTCCTCCCTCCCTCCCTCCCTCCCTCCCTCCCTTCCTTCCTACCTTCCCTCCCTCCCTCCTCCCCTCCAATTTTGAAACAGTTCAACTCACAAGAAGTTGCAGAAATAGTGCCGGGGGTGGGCATGCATGCCTCACCCAGCCTCCCCCAGTAGTAGCCCACATGGCCACAGTACCTGCCATTTTTTGCAAGAGTAAAAAGTCCGTGAACAGCGCACGCACGCCTGTCCCTGTGGCTGACTTATAAACCTGCCAGATGGGACCGTGTGGCGGCCGCTGCCCTAGGCCAGGGGTTTCCTGCCTTTCGTTTCCAGCGTCGGAACAGATGCCCTGTCACAGGGCAGCCCGGCACAGCAGGCTGCAAAGGCGTGGGCTCCAGGCGGGTGCCCCGCGGAACTCCCGAGGCCGGTGCTTGGGTCCCTGGACGCCGCTCGGGTCCCCCGCACACTGTCGAGACGAGGCTCCTGCGACTCGTTTGCTACAGTTAGCGTGAGCTCCTTGAACCTGACAGTCAGCAACAGTCGGGGGAGGCTACTGGGCTCATTCTGGAAGGAGCCCTGGGGTTGGGGTTGGGGTTGGGCAGACCCGGGGCGAATCCCAGGTCTTGAAAACTGTGTGCCTCTAGGCACACTGCTTGATCTTTGACCTTGAGGCTACTCCGCTGTAAAATGGGGAGAGCCAGCCTCTACTTCCGGCTGACGTGTGTCACATACATTAGGCCTGGTCGCCAAACGGCGGGTGCTCGGCGCAGAGAGGTGTCAGGCGGACGATGGTGATGGGGGCCGCCCAGCGTTGCCTCGGAGACACCTGTCACCTACCACCAGCACACCCCCGGGCCCCCAGGGGAGCTCTGTGAACATCATACTGTCATCCCATTCCCGACCACAGCCCCCCCCAAAATGGGGGACATCGGCCCTGCCTTTTTCCTGTGGGAGCATGATAGTCAAAATCTCATCTTATCCATGTGGACACAGGACCAAGAAGCTTCGCAGAACTGAGTGTCATCTGCAAGATGGGGCCATTACCTCCATGCCGGGGTTCTTGGGAAGTGACAGGAGACAGAACATCCCGTCCCAAGGTGGTGGCTTTTCCATCAAAGAGGAGAGGACACGATTGTGTGGGGTTTCGGTGCTGGTTCTTTGATCCTAGTGGCCAAGGGTAGCTGCGTAGACTGCTCGCCTGGCCTCCGATTTCTCTTAGCCTCCAAGGTCAGGTGGCCTCTCCCCCGCCCCTGTGTTTCCTGCCTGGGTCCGCTCAGTTGCTGGGGGGCCCTGTTGTTGCCAAACAGTGATGGTGCCATCAGATGGGAGCCTTCCGCAGACCAGAGGTGGTAACAGACTCGGCTCTCTCTTCTCTCCCCAGGCTCAGCTGCACAAGAGGCCAGAGGCCGACAGTCCCAGTGAGGCCCCAGGCTGGGCCCCCCAGCCCAAGACCCCCAAGTCCCCCTTCCAGCTGGGCAGTCGCGTGCTGCCCTCCAGCATGGAGAAGGACGACAGGTGAGGGGTCTTGGGGATGAGGCCTCCACCCTGGACTCAGGATGCAATTCTGGGGGTTGCTTATCTGGGTCTTAGAGCTGGATGCAAAGGCGAGTTGCAGCTGTGTGTTTCCCTCTAGCAGCAGAACTTTGTTCACGTGAACTCTCGGCAGCCTGCGCTGGGGTAGGGGGGAAGAGGACCAGGAATCAGGCCGGCTGGCCTTACTCTTCCCCCACCCCCCTCCACGTCCCACATGGAAATCCAGGGCTGTGTTGTGGGACTACTGACCTAGTCTAGCCGAGCTGCTTGGCCTGGGGGCGGGGTGGGGGGTGTCACTCTGCCTCTCTGGGCCTCAGTCTCCTTATCTGCAAAATGGGTTGACTCATCATTCTAACCTTCCAGGGTGGTCATGAGGACAAAAGGAGAAAGTGTGTGCAGAGCCCTTTGCATTGGCATTGGCTTGCAGACGTGCTCGAGAAAGGACAGTGGGATTCTGGGGCTCCCGGGGCGCTCAGTCAGTTGAGCGTGCGATTCTTGATTTCAGCCCAAGTCATGATCTCAGGGTCTTGAGATCGAGCCCTGCATCGGGCTTTTCTTACCGCAAGTTAACACATAAAAGTGAGGGATTATTCACACTAAGTTGTAATGTTGTAAGTGCTGCAACAGAGCGGGGTTTGGCAAGCTGTAGCCCATGGGCCAAGTTCCGCCCACTGTCTGTTTGTGTAAATAAAGCTTTATTGGCACCCAGCCACACCCATTCCTCTCCGTATAGGGCTGCTCCCGTCAGGGCTGTGGGGTTGGCTAGTTGTAGCAGGCACCCCAGGACCCACAGAGTCAAAAAACTACTTCCTCTCTGGCTCTTTATCTGATCCCAGTGATAGAGGAAGGACTCGTAACCCAGACTTGAGGAAGGAAAGTGCAGAAAAAGGCTTCCAGGAGAAGGAGTTGCCTGAGCTGAGTCACGATAGACAAAAACGTGAGGGGTTCCCCAGGCTTAAGTCACAGCACATGCAAAGGCCCGGAGGCCTGACATCACAGGGGGTCTGTAGGCAGTGCCTATTAGCAGAGCACAGAGCGGGCTGTGGGAAGCAAAAGGACAAGAGGTTAAGAGAAACAAGGCCATAGTTGAGATGGTGCCTCTTGTGCTCTGGAGATACCAGAATTGCAGGGTGGCTCTGGAGTCAGCCGAGCACTCCAGTGTTTCTCCGGGGCTGGAGGAGCCCCCAGACCAGGGTCTCAGAGGAACCTCTCTGGAGGCCTGGTCTGGTGCCTCTTCCATCGGGTGAGGCTTGCTTGGGGCACCCCAGAGTCCTGTCTGCCCAGGGGACCTCTCCTTCCTTGCACACCCCCATGCCACCCCAGCTGGGTCAGCAAGTTCCCTGAGCCCTCTAGGGGTTGGGGTCAGGAACTTTCTCTGAGATCAACATAGGTTGGATCTTGTGAGTACTTGTGTATGATTATAAAGTAGTATATGCTCCAGTCCCATCCATGTTGATGCACATGGTGGGTATTCATCCTTTCTGATGGCTGAGTAATATTCCATTGTATATATGGACCACATCTTCTTTATCTATTCATCTGTTGAAGAACATCTCGACTCTTTCCACAGTTTGGCTATTGCGGACATTGCTGCTATGAACATTGGGATGCATATGGCCCTTCTTTTCACTACATCTCTATCTTCAGGGTAAATACCCAGTAGTGCAATTGCTGGGTCATAGGGTAGCTCTATTTTAAAATTTTTGAGGCACCTCCACACTGTTTTCCAAAGTGGCTGTACCAACTTGCATTCCCACCAACAGTGTAAGAGGGTTCCCCTTTCTCCACAACCTCTCCAACATTTGTTGTTTCTTGCCTTGTCAATTTTTGCCATTCTAACTGGAGATTATGCTGTGAAATAAGTCAAACAGAGAAAGTCAATTATCATATGGTTTCACTTATTTGTGGAACAAAAGGAATAGCATGGAGGACATTAGGAGAAGGAAGGGAAAAATGAAGGGGGCGGAAATCGGAGGGGGAGATGAACCATGAGAGACTATGGACTCCGAGAAACAAACTGAAGGTTTTAGAGGGGAGGGGCTGGGGAATGGGTTAGCCCGGTGATGGGTATTAAGGAGGGCACGTATTGCATGGAGCACTGGGTATTATATGCAAACAATGAATCATGGATCACTACATCAAAAACTAATGATGTACTGTATGGTGATAACATAATAAAATAAAATTTAAAAAAATAATCTATGCTCACCATAGAAATTTTGGAAAATATAGGGGCACCTGGGTGGCTCAGTTGTCAAGCGTCTGCCTTTGGCTCAGGTCATGATCCCAGGGTCCTGGGATCGAGCCCCGCATCGGGCTCCCTGCTGGGCAGGAGGCCTACTTCTCCCTCTCCCACTCCCCCTGCTTGTGTTCCCTCTCTCGCTGTGTCTCTCTCTATCAAATAAATAAATAAAATCTTAAAAAAAAAAATTTTGGAAAATATAAGAAGAATATAAAGTAGAAAACAAAATCACCGATGATCCCACCCCGCAAAGACCACCAGTGTGAGGTCAGGCCATCTCTCCTTCCATTTTAATTTAAAATGTACTTGAGATCACAACGTACATGTAGCTTCTTTCCCTGTTATGTGTTTCACGTGGGCCATTTTCCCAAGGCCGTTACACATGCTTCGTAAAAACGATCTTTTTCTTGAAAAGAGTTGCAAAGAGTCACGACTTTATGGCTTTTGTTAAGACGGTATGTTCTCACTACAACACAGCAAAGTCCGTGAAGAAAGTGAAAACTAAGATACTCGGGAGTGTCATGATTGAGATGGTGGCTGCTCGAATATATTCACTTTGAGAAGATCCACTGACCTGCACACTTATGGTTTGAGTAGTTTTCTGCATGTGTGTTCTTCACTTTAAAAAAGTTAAAACAAACCTTACCTCCCCCAAACGGTCATGTGTTACTGTTTGGTAAACATAAGGCATCTATCTGTGTCTCACAGACATCGTGTTAGTCAAGTATTCTCCAAAGAAACAGAAACAATAGGATGTGTGTATACACAGACACACACAGAGCAGAGGGAGGAAGGGAGGGAGAGACAGAGAGAGAGGAAGAGGGAGAGAGAGTTAGAGAGAGATTGAGATTGAGATTGATTTTAAGGAACTGGCTCCCCCAATCATGGGTACCAGCAAGTGCAAAATCTGCAGGGCAGGCTGGTAGGCTAGAGACTCAGGGAAGAACCAATATTGTAGTTTGAGTCCCCAGAGCAGTCTGTTATCAGAATTCCCTCTTCTTCTGGGGAGGTCAGTCTTTTTCTATTAAGGTCTTCAACTGGGATTGGATGAGGCCCACCCATAATAAGGAGGGTAATCTGCTTTACTGAAAGCTGACTGATTTAAATACTGATTTTGTCTTTAAAAATGCCTTCACAGAACCATCTAGAACAATGTTCAACCAAATATCTAGGTACTGTGGCCTAGCCGAGTTGACACATACAATTAACCATCATAGGCATTTACCTGGGTAGAGCTAGAAGGATGGAGGTATGCCTGGGGTGATGGATGGACGGAGATAATTCATGTGTCAGCGTGACTTCACAGCTGCAGATTATTTCATAGAATGGGTGTACCGTGATTTATTTACGATTCCTTGTTGTTGGGCGCTTTGTTTAATTCCTGTTTCTTGCTCATCGATCACATTAACATGGCATCTTTACCACCTTCCAGTGCCCGGCTCAGCATCACCTGGGCACTGAGGATGCGGGGTCGGGTACCTCACAGCCCTGCCTGTAAGGAGCCCTCAAGCTGGCTCGCACTTGATTCTCACTGGCTTTGTGGTTTCAGGTCAGAAGAGCCCTCTCCCCAGTGGTTAAAGGAGCTAAAATCCAAGAAGAGGCAAAGCCTGTATGAGAACCAAGCTTGAGCAGGTATGAAGTGGGGATGCAGTGAGGAACCTGGACCGGGAGACAAGGGTCAGAGACTCGAGGTGTTGTATCCTAGGAGAGAGAAGGGAAAATGGGTGCGAGTGTTCTGGGTTCCAATAAAGAGGGTAGTGCTGATCTGTTTCCTCTTAGGGGAAAAAAACCCAGGTGGGCAGCCTGGTCGAGGAGCCAGATAACCTAGGCTCTGGGCTCACGCACTTCTCACTGCATCTCAAAACCCTTTTATGAAGTGGAAAGGCAGGACATCAGGGGTTAGCTTAATCCGAAATGTCTCCAATTTTTACATTCATATACAACCTGTATGATTAAAATTTAATTTGGAAAAAAAAAAAAGAAGGATATTAAAAAGTCAAATGATTAGATATGCCCTGGTGTGGGTCCCAAATGACTTCATATCTCAGGGGAACTTCAGGTTCCCCATCTGTAAAATGGGGTAACAGTGCCCATGTCACTGAGGGGTCCCCGGGGCTCACTGAGGAGGCACTAAATTGCTGGCGGTCAGTCCTACGTGTAGGAGCATACGGCTCATACCCCCTGAAAGCTGGCTCTGATGTGAGCAGCCCAGGAGACCCGCCAGCCCCTTCCCCGGAAACCTCAGATGCAGAAAACACTGACCACAAAGCATTTTCCTGACCTGCTTAGTGGCAAAACCTGACCTGTGTGGATGTCTGTACTTTACGCTGCGGGTACATTATGGGGTGTTTCATAATATATATGTGTGCACATATGCATGTGTATCTGTGTATATAATAACCGCCCCCCCAAATTCTAAATCCCCAGGTAATCTGTGCTCAAGGGTTTTGGATAAGGAATGGGATCCTGTGTTGATTTTGTATGTAGTGCTCTACATGTGATATCTCTCTGAACCTTCCAGCCATCCATTTGAGGAAACAGGCTGGAACCCTCACCTGACCCTAAACTTCATGTGGGTTCTACTGCACCTGGCCACCTGCCACCTTCCTCACCCCACTCCAAAAAAAAAAAAAAGTCACCTTTCCCAGCCTGTGGCCTGTAGGGATGGGGGGATGGCCGTCTCGAAGAATACCAGACAAGGTTTAAAGGCTTGATGGCCGAGACACCTAGGGTCCCATGTTCCTCTTGCTGACGCCAGGACTGTCCCTTTCTTTCCAGACAAGGGTCACTGCCACATCTAACGAACAGAAGCCTTAACTGTCAGAACCCGAAGATGAGGCCACACTGATGCCATTCCTTCCTGCACAAGGCTCCCTCCCTGGGCCCTTCCAGTGGGGTGGAGAACACGGCCCCGTGCCTCCTGCCTCTCCACAGGCTCCCCTCCCCCGCCGCCGATCGGGGCGCGAAGACCCGCCCTCCTCAAGCCCTTGCATGTCTCCGCAGACAACACTTGAGGCTGAGGACGAAGCCAGGCTGCCCAGAATTGTCCATGCTGGTGGTTTTGTGTTTTATGTGAACACTGTGCATTTCTACCCACCGTAGACATCACTCCGGGACCGTCAGTCTGAGGCTGGACCATCTCCCCGGGTTCTGGAAAACACCTGTATTATGAGGGCACCTCTCCCCTCGCCACCCCCACCAACCCCCACCAGGGCAGGTCCTTTCAAAAGCCTGTTTCCAAGGAAGAAGACTCCGTTTCCTGCTGTGACTGTGGCCCAAGGCAGGGTCATGGGGTTGGGTTGTGATTGCTTTATGGGCCAGTTCCGCCTCCTTCCCTCTCCCAAGAATCAGCAGCTCCAATTTTTTAAACATACCCACCCTCTCGTTTCAAGTGTATTTATCGTCACAATGGGGCCGTGCGCATAGATGACCTGCTCATTATACATCACTTCGGTTTGCTTTAGAAGGCGTTAAAGCAATAATTCAGCCAGCTTTCTTTGAAATTTGATATGTATACGTTTTTTACGTTCAAGAGCAGAAGGAAAGATGTGTGAATAATTGGCTTGAAGTATCCGATCGTCTCAGGTTATCTTACCCCATCCATGTTTTTAAAAGAAAATTCCAGTTGTCACCTTTGTATATATATTTTCCTGGTTTCTTCTCATTTGAGCTCTGATTTCTGTGGAGTGACCATTGTCCCTTGGCCTCAAGGGTTCATCAAAGGCAACCCGATGGCAGTGCCTTTCGCACCCAAACATCAGACCCGCCCTGAGAATCTTCTTCTCCAGTCTTTTTTGAACAGCGCCCAAGATGGAGGAAGCATCATTACAAATTGGAACAAATGCATGAATGGGAGGGAGGGGGTTCTTCTGTTCCCTCTCACCTCTTCCTTCTACCACTCCCCCGCCGCACCCCCTGCCAACTCTACCTGACCAAGTGCTTCCTTTAGGTCCAAATGCAGGAAGGGAGGGGTCTTGCTGAAATCCTTCTCTGGACAGACATGCTGGATGCCAGGTAACAACGTATGGGTTTTGCTTTGCTTCCTTTTTTTTTTTTTTCTTGCTAGCTCTAAGCTCATTCCCAGGAATCTCTAAGACCTCTGGGGGTCGTAGGCACTCTCTGTATGGTCTTTCTTTTTGGAAATCCTCAACACCAGCCTCCTCCACGTCTGAAACCCAAGGCTCCAGCAAATATCCTGGATGTGCTTGACTGGCCACCTGCCATGCCTGGAGTTGCCATAAACTGTGTGCCAACCTTGCCTGGGAGATGCCCGTTGGTGAGAAAGACGCTTGGGGCAGTTCATAGGGTCCCCTGTGACTGCTGAGGGACCCCAGGGCTGAGTTTTCTAAGGCTAGATAGGGAAGAGATGGGCCACATGCACGCCCACCCACTGACTTCCCAAGACATGAAAATCTTTCTTGATAAATCCACTATTTGCAAATGATGTCAAAACATACCTTCCTTCTCCCTGGCCACATCTCCAGGAGTCTCCATTTGTCTCCCCCATCTCTTCTTCCTTTCACCCTTTGCCATCTCTTCCTTCTCTTGGGGGTGGGGGTGAGGGGTGGAGAGGAATCCTGTTTCTCCAGGTTCAGCACCATGGACAGGGACTGAAGCCCCGCCCCCTCCCCCAGTCTGACCTTTGGCTACCGTTGTCGACCCCGTCACCCACCCAGCCTTTTGCATCTGGAAGCCTCATGCATCTGTGTCTGGAGCTTTGGCCCTGCTTGATAACAGTTGTGTTCTTTTCATTCCCAGAGGTAGTGGTCAGTCTGTTATCTGTGGCCCTTGGGTGGAAATTTGATTCCTCCAGGAACTGCTGCTTTGGGTGATTTTTCTTTCCTTTCCTTCGTTCTTTGTTTTAGATCCAGTTAATGTTCTGTTTTGTTCTGTTTTGAAGAAGGCTTCACGCCCAGCGTGGAGCCCAACGCAGGGCTTGAACTCATGATCCTGAGATCAAGACCTGAGCTAAGATCAAGAGTCAGACGCTTAACCAACTGAGCCATCCAGGCGCCCCGAGATCCGGTTAATGTTTTAAAACAATTTTGATGCGGTGGCTCTCCAGGGCCATAGGTCCCCTTGGAAGACACTCCTCATGTTCTGACCAACTCTTCCTGGCTGCTCTCTGTCTTTCCTTCAGGTGGGAAGGGCCCCTTGGTACCATCTTGGACAGTAGGAATAGACCTGCTCTATTCAGTGAGACTATAGATACCATGCAAAACCCTCCAATTCTTAATTAGTTATGTTTCAGCCCAAGTATACCCAACAGGGAAGAAAAACACTTGAACATGAGATGAACCTGGAGATCTTTTGCCCAGCCTCCCACACCTTGATTGGAAACAAAAATCCATTTAATTCCTCGCTGATTAGGACATACAAAGTCCACCCACCCCCCTTGAAACTGACGAGAGCAGCCTCACCTCTCCACTGCAGAGTGGACCCTCACAGTGGGTCAGGAACCACCCTCTCCATGCAGTCTCCCCTTGACCTCTGGATCCCACTACGCTCAGTGCAACCAAGTTAGAAGTGGCTGATGCCTGGAACTTTTGCAGATAGCTGGGCAAGCGTGTCGTTGGTTTTCCCCTCTTTCTAAGCCAAGCGGTTTGTATGCTGGTTTTCTGGCCCTAAGCGAGCGGTTTCTATGCTAGTTTCTTGAGTTTGCCTGGAGCTGCCTTTGGAAATCTGTCTCTTTTTAAACTAACTTAATATGCCTTAATCGTTTGTATGCAATCAAGTCACCTGCCCTCATCTAATCACCTTCCTGGGGGCCTTTGGCTCTCCTTAAATGAGAGTCTTGCACAGAAAGCACATCTCTGTACGTACAATCTGTCTACAGACACACAAACACACACACCCTTTGCACATCAGCATTTTGACGGCCGGTGTTTTGATAAGTCTGTATCTAGATCCCCTTCTTCGTGGCCCTTGCCTGATGAAACAGAGGCCTTTGGCCTATGAAATCCCGTGGCGAGGCCTCAAGAATCAGTTTTATGGAGGATTCCTTGGTGCCACCAGAGAAATTCTGGTGAGGCTGAAGCCTCGCGTTGTTTCCTGGGGCGTTTGGGGTGACACAGACCTGACGGCCTCAGGTTATCCGGGATTCGGGAAAAGGACAATCAGATGGGAGCTCTTCCAGGGGGACAAGCCAAGTCCTATGCTCTCAGACAAATGTGTTTGCCTTTGTGCGTCCAAGGAAGTGAGGCCAACTCTAGGTATTGCTAAGGAGCGAGCATCGAAATAGACGCAGGCCTGAGGTCCCAGAGCTTAGAGGCTGTGCAAGGGAGTGGAGGAAACCCATGGCGTGCCCGCCCCCCCCCCCCCCAGAGGGGAGCTCAGCTGCTCGCACTCAGACCTGGTGGCCGCTTTGTCCACTTAACGCTTATGCATTTTCTCATCACAATGCCCCCAGATTGCCCCAGGAGCTAGGCATAATCATACAGCTGAAAATCCATAGGCGTGTGGTCAGATCACCTCCAAAGCTAAATGCTTTTTTAAAGACGACTTGGGCTGGCGTGGAAGACGGTGTTCCACGGAGAACGCTGTCGAGCCTGCCTCTCACTCTCCAGTTCTGTGTTTACCCCTCAATCCCTGTGGTACCCCCTCACCCCCCAGTCCCGTCCCTTCGTACAGGAAACCAGATTACTTAGCCTGTGTGTAAACTAGCATTTCAGGGTGAGCCCGAGGGATGTAGAGGCAGGAGAAAAGGTCTATCCAAGGGGAGACAGCCTCGCCCCTAATTTACACTGTGACAAGTCACTAGAGTAAATGGGGAAGCCTCCTACAGCCTCAGTTGTGCCTTTCTTCCTCCACCACGCGTTCAGACGTGGAAGCAAAACTCCCATGGCATTGTGATTCCACGGGGGAAGAGGGACAATATTGACGTGGAGGGAACCACTTGAAGCAGGCGGAACCCACTCCACATCTGGAAGGGGGTCCACCTTGGGCTACAGCCACCTAGGGAGCCGTGGATCTGGGCTCTGCCGAGAGGCTGCTACAAGTCAACCCTGTTGGGGTTTTGGGCAAGCTGAGGTTCTGGAAATGCAGAGCCACGTGGAAAGCCAGTGGGCGCAAGTGTGCTGGGTCTTCGCCAGGCTCTCCCCTTTGGTTACCCCCCCACCCCTCTAGAATTTGCTTTCTTTTGTTGGGATTGGTTCCTGCAGGGAGGGGTGCAGAAATCTGTGTTCTGGAAAATCAGCCTGAGGTTCCTGGCAAATTAACCCTTAAAATCAATCAGCTTCTGCCCCTCCCTTAAATCTCCTTAAATAGTCACCCTCTAACCTGGTACCTGAACATCTCCCTCCATGATTCAGACTGGCCCTTTTTTTTGACAATCTCCAGTGGTATCATGTCAGCAAAAAAAAAAACCAACAACAAAAAACCAAAAACCAAACAAACAAACAAAAATCATGCTGTTGTCTAAAGAACAATTTGAGCTTTTTTACTGGTCTCATTCCAAATAGCCTTATAGATCCTGTAAATAGGGGGCTCGCAAAAGTAATATATTGTGTTATGGAAGATATTTTGTACTGTGTTGTTTCCTAAATCATACCAATATGCTAGAAGTGATGCACTTCCCAGATGATTCTGATCCTCAAAACACTTTGTAAGAAGGGGCGGAGAGCGGAAATACATACAAATACACTATATATTTTCTAACGTTTCTTCTGAGTCCCTTCCTGAGATAAAATTTAAGTCACGTTAGAAAAGAAATTCGAGTCCCGTGTGTACGAAAGTTACACCTGCTGCCTGCTGGCGTTCCTGCAATTGCCTTATGAATTCACAAGCTCTAAGGGGTGCTGAACAGAAGGTGGACAACAGGCACTTTATCCAATCCCAGAAAGAATCTAATCGCATGACTGAGCATTCATCTAGAAAAACCTATATTTTTAACCTTAAAACAAATGGGGCTTCCCGGACCTCACAGAGTATTGGGTATCTACAAGTGCTTTTATATTTTGTAACTGTAAAGAGGTTTCATACGCACAGAAGAACAGTTGGGAATCTGGTCAACTGCCATTAGACAGGATGACCTTTGCATGTACAAAGATGTTGCATTCAGCCCATGAAAATAGCAAATAAAGCTTCAATGCAAGTTGCACTGAAGAACTTGGTGTGTCAGTGTGTGGATGAATGGGCTCTCCCATGCATGCACGCCCGTCACCAGCTGAGTCGGTCTGTTGTCTGTGCTGAGCTGGGGGCCGCGCGGCAGGAAGGGGGGGAGCTGGGGTCCTGGGAGAGGGGGACCCGTGGAGACAAAGCAGGATTTCCATTCAGCGTGGGCTGGAATCCTCATTCTGCCTCCTCCCGGCTGTGGGATATCGCTGAGCATCGGAACTCCAAATTGGGGGTTGGTGAGAGAGACCTTAGTGGGCAATAGTTGAAGGAAAGAAAACAGGGCATGTGAAGGTGCTGGGCACACAGTAGTTCCTCGGGATCCTAAAGGATCTGATGGGAGGAAGTCACACCATCTCCTTCTTCCCCCTTAGATCCCTAGCAGGTGACGGCTGCATCCCAAGTTAAGGGGTCGAATCCAACTCTGTGTTCCGTGGTCCCCAGCAGGAGGTAGTCCCTGGGTTTGAACTGCCAATAGTGGGCAGGATCCTCAGTGGATGGAAGCAAGGAAGTAGCAGCCTGAGCCAAGCGCTTCGTTCCATGATCTCTCCGTGGTTGTCCATTTATGACTGTTGCTGACCTCCAGTAGTTCACCCAAGGTCACACAGGTCCACCTGCTTCCAGAGGCCAGCTGCCACCCACAGTGTCCCACCACCATCTCCAGGGGTGCGGGGGGACCAAGTTTTAGGCTGAGTGGAGGATTTTGGCCAAAAATCACAACAAAACCAAACCCTGATCCGTAACAATTCACTCCTTGGCCCTCTCTTCATTTTAGTCTTCCAATAATCATTAATCATACTTAGAAAATGCACGGGCCTAGGCTTTTGATTTGTATTTGTTTTTTAATTTCTGTTTGTCTGCGTTTGTTTGTTTTTTGGGGTCGCAAATTAGGTGACTATCATGATTACCTTTATTTCTGTTGAAGCTAAGATCTGGGCCCTGTGGCAAGCCAAACCCTCCTCCTCTCTGCTGTGTGACTTTGGGTAAATGACTTCACCTCTCTGAACTGTTTCTGAGCCATCTATAAAATGGGGATGGCAATTCCTTCCCTCAAGAGGGCTGGGGGAGGATTAAACAATGTTCATGAAACTGGCGCAATGCCTTCCTTGCACACGGCTGGTCTTCAATAAATGGGAGCTGTCCACTGGGTATGCCTTCTACATGAAGAAAATAAACCTTTGTTGGGTCTGTTGCAGCATCCCGTGGAAACCCAATTTGGGGGTTATATTTAGGGTGATCTCATTGAAAATTTAGGCCATGTGGCCCATGGGAAAATTGAGTGATTCTGGGGTCCCTCGCTTTGAGAGCTGGTGTCCTTCCGAGGATGTCCTTTGCCCAAACAGGAAGGTGATGGCTCCAGGAAGCCCCAGAAAGGGAGTTGGGGGGCGCTGGAGAGCTTTACACCCCAATGCCCCCCGCCCGCCGGCGCTGTCAGACTTCCCACAAAGCTGATGAGGTCCGTCTGTCCCCAGGACGCCATCGGGGTCATGGTGCAGGGACATAGGCACTGGGGCCTCCTGAGCCCGCTATTGGAGTGAAATGGCCCGAACGGAATTGGGTGGACAGGGCGCTGCCTCAGCAGGCTGGGATGTGCTGGGCCGTCGAAAAGCGCCCATAAATAGGGCACCGCAGCAAAGGCAGATTGTCTGCAGACGGTGCTGGCCCCTCTGTTCTTGCCGAGGCTACAGCAGCAGGTTCATTCTGGGACGGGCAGGGGCGGGGAGGCGAGGGCTGCCCTGGCAGGCCCAGGCCTTTGGGGATCTCCGCGGGGCATGCACGGCTGGCCCCCGCACAAACCGGGGATTCACTTAAGGGTTGGAGCCAAGAGGGAGGACCCAATCCAGCCACCAAGCCCAACTGGTGTCCGAGGGAGGCAGCCAGGGTTGAGCCCCTGGGCACGTGCTTAGGGAAGGGGGCCTCCAAAGACTGAGCGCAGGGGAGGGAGGGGAGTGAGCAAATCTGGGGGCTGCCAAGGATCCTGGGAGTCCTCCATGAGCTGGACCAGGCCGTTTGTCCTGCGGAGGCTGGGCATAAGCAGGACAGGCAGCCTGCAGGCTGTGCTTCCCTCGGCCTGTTCCAGAGCACACGGCCACGCAGCTGTGCCCGCCAGAGTGGGGGGTGCAGATGTGTGCACCTTGTGGACCGCTGTGGGTGTCTGAAAGGGGCATATGTGAGAGATGGGGGGGCTGTCGTGTTCGGTGGGTGTGATGGGACTGGGTGATCACAGGAGTGTGTGCATGTGCATGCGTGTGTGTGGGCTGATAAACTGGAGAACACTCCTGTGCATCTGTGTGTCATGGGGATCATGAGAATCCTCCCATGACTACCTTGTCATGACTGCCACGGGGCCAGTGTTGTGTGTCACGGTCCCCACAGGGATGAAGGGGGACTGTCTCTCTCTGTCTGTGTCTCTTTAAGTGGCTGGCACACCGTAAGTGCTTCATAAATGCATGTGGAATGAATAACCGAATGTATGGAAACGTGTCCCAGGACCCAGTCCCCCGCATCATGCGTTCTCTAGATGTCTATCTGTCCATCTCCCACCAGTCTGTGGTCTCCTGTTGGGCCCGGTCACCCAGCACCAGGCCAGGCACTGAGCAGATGTTCATGGAACCTTTGGTGGACAGAGGGAAGAATGAACAAAAGATTGGCCCAGAGCGTGGAGGTGGGAGAGATCCCTGTAGAGGGACCCCGCTGAAGCCCACCCTCTGGCCAAGGTCCAGGGGTGGTGCGTCTACACAGAACTTGAAGAACCCTGTTTCGGAGGTGGGGGGGAAGCAGTTGGGTGTAGGGGAGGGGCATGCGCTTTGGAGTTAGGCCCAATCCTGGCAGCTCCCTCACCGTGTGCCTTGCGGAAGTGGCTTCACCTCACTGGGCCTCAGGGTTTCCCTCTATAGAACAGGGATCCTGAGCCCACTGACTGTCCTAGTCCTTGTGGCCCATGATGGGTGCTCAGTGGATGTTTGTTGAATGACTGAATGACCGAATGCAGTGAGTGATGGCCACATCCCATGGGCAGCCCGGCTCTGGAGCTCATCCTTGACTTCAGTCACATCAACCCCTAGCGTGGCCTGGGGGGCGAGGGGGGGGGCTGGTGACTCACTCATTTTCCTTTGGTTGGAGCCAGAGGTGTTCCTGGGGAGATGGCAGAACAACATGGAGCGCCGGAGCAGGCTGCAACTGGCAAGAGCCATGGAGGCCTTGGGGGCACCTACAAGGTACAGGGCAGGGAGGGGTTCCAGGGTCTGTGGGCCTGGGGCTGCTCTCGGGCCTCGGGGTCAGCTTCCCCGCCAGGCAGAAAGGAGCAGCGGCCCTTCCAGCCATCGGGGGCCAGGGAGACACCTCGCTCACCACGATCGTGCTGCATCTTCTCTCTTCTGTGTCCTCATCTGCAGAAGGGAACTGGTCGCACAAACGCAACTGACTCAGTGGGGCACAGAGGCCCGGCGGGGGCGGGGGTCTCAGGAGACATGGTGCTGACTCTCCTGCCTGACCTCAGTCCAGTTCCCCAGATTCTCTGGGCCTCAATAGCCCCATCTGGAAAATGGGAGCAATGCTCCCTGTCTCAGCCCCCAGAGCTGGTGCCAAGGAGAATTCCAACAGCTGGAATTTATTAGCTCTTCGCTCTCTGAGCTATCCCTGGGGGCTTTAATCTGAGATGGGGTCTGAGAAGCAGGGGCCTGCCTGGCCCTGGGCCTGATTGGTGGGAGCACACAGCTGGTCTAGGGACTTCTAGAGGCCTTTGCAAAGCCCCAGAGGCAGATGCCCACCATGAAGGTGGGTGCCTCTGCCAGGCCTTCCTGGCTCCTCTGGCATCTGTGGGCCATGCCCTGTCCACCAGGACGGGGGAGGAAAGAGCCAGCCCACTTCTTGAATCCTGGTGCCTCTACCTAATTTGCTGTGCAGGCTGGGACAAATGACTTACCCTTTCTGAGCCTTCTATAAAATGACCAGAACAGATGTACCCCAGGGACCTTCTCCAAAGACAGTTTGTGCTTCTAGGTGGATAAGAGAGGCGAAGCCTTCCTCCTCTTTTGCAGCCTCTTTCTCTCTGGGCGTGGGACAGGTGAAGGGCAACCCAGAGGTTGCCAACGGGTGTTTTCCTTTGTTAGGCACAGGGAAATTTTGCATTCAGGGAAATACAGCTTTCTGGCCTCTCTTGAAAAGTTTAAAATGGGGTGCACATTCCCTCCTGGCCATAAGCGGCTTCATTTCCTTCCCTAGGTCACTTCACTCTCTTAGATTACGGCCTGCCAGATAACTGGTTGCAATCCGTGGTTTAATTGGAGGTTCTGGGGGGCGTTCCCCTCCGTAGCCACGAGGGGGCAGCGCAAGCCTGTGGCCCATGCTGGCTCGAGACGCGTCCAAGGCAGAGGGGATGGAGCCCAGGGGATGGTACCTCCCTGCCCTGCCCCAAGGGAGACTGTGCAGGCCAGGGTCTGGGGCTGGAAGGGGGAGCCCGACCCCCATGGGATGCTCAGGATGCTGCCCTTTCAGGTGATCGTGTATGAAATGGAGAACTTCCAGGGCAAGCGGTGCGAGCTCTCGGCCGAGTGCCCCAGCCTGACAGAGAGCCTGTTGGAGAAGGTGGGCTCCATCCAGGTGGAGTCTGGGCCGTGAGTACCTGGACGCCCCAGCCCCCTCCTCACAGGCCCGAGCCTCCTGGGCGTCAGGAGGTCCGGCTTCCAGTTCTAGATCTGCTGTGGGACCGTTAAGTGACTCCCTCCCCATCTCTGGCCTCAGTTTTCCCATCTGTCTAGTGGGGTTAACGGTGGCATGCACTTCAGAGTTTTTGTGAAAATGAATGGAAAGATGCACATAAATAATAACAACGTAATAATAAGGAGGAGGAGGGAGAGGAATTTGTCTTTGGATTACCTACTATGTGCCAGACATTGAAAGGACGTTCCTGAGCACCTACACAGAGGCTGCACATAAAACAGATTCTTCATACCGTTTCCCAGGATGATTTTTCTGGCTCAGAGTCTCAGCTTCCAGTATATTCTAGGAGCTGCTTGAATACCTGGACCAGGGGTCCACGGTAGGGTTGGAGGGAGGGTTCAATGTCAAAGGTCAGCAGCTTGGGGGCCCTTCCCTGGCTAGACGTGGGTCCCTCCCCTCAGCAGCAGCCGTGGTGGACCCAGACTGGCTTCCTCCTACAGGTGGCTGGCGTTCGAGCGCAGAGCCTTCCGTGGGGAGCAGTTTGTCCTGGAGAAGGGGGACTACCCTCGCTGGGACGCCTGGTCCAACAGCCACCACAGTGACAGCCTCCTGTCCCTCCGGCCTCTGCACATCGTAAGTACAGCTCCTGCCTGCTTCGGGGAGCTCCTAGAAGCTGGCCGGCCAAGCGCCCCGCACAAGTTCAGCGGAGGGCGGGGCTGGTACAGACCTGGCTTTGGGAAGGGCCCTCTTCACCTCTGACCTAGAAGATTGCGTGGGACGAGAGGAAGTTGGCTATCGAATGGTCCCGGGGCTGGGGATCGGGACACCAGGATTCACATCTTGAATCTGCCAGCATGGCCTTGACACTTCCCTGCATAACCCTATTACAAATCAGGAGCCTCGTGGCCCAGCCTCGGATCAGGACTGTGCTCAAAGCAACACGTTCAGAAAGGAGCTTCAGAAAGTAAATGGTTCCTCACTTGCCTTTCCCAAACACCCGGAAGGGACTCGATCCACAGTATCACATTTAAATGTCGCTCTGCTCCCCCACCTGCTTCCCCCACACTCGGTGGCCTCTCCAGGCCTCTCTCCTTGTCACAGTAACATTTGCCTGCTTGGATGACAGTGAGAGGAAAGCTAGGAAGACCACATCTGAACCTGGTTTAGTAAACAGGGAATCCTCCTACATTACTGATTTTTATCTCCTTCCGGCCTCTCTGTGCCTCAGTTTCCCTATCTGCTAAACGATGGAGTTTCACAAGAGCCGAAAGGCCCCCTCTGGGTTTCACGGCTTCCTGGTTCTGAGATTCCTAAGGAGAGCGGCTCTGGAGGAACCACCCTAGTCCCCAACCCCTCCAGCAGACCTCTCGGGAATCCTCAGGCATTGGGCTTGGGGGTTCTGTGGTCACTGGACTCTTTCCCACACCTAACGACCCCTGCTCTGAGTGTGGGAGCAGCCGGCTCACCCCGTGACCCTGCCCCCAGGATGGCCCAGATCACAAGCTGCACCTGTTCGAGAACCCAGCCTTCAGCGGCCGCAAGATGGAGATAGTGGATGATGACGTGCCCAGCCTCTGGGCTCATGGCTTCCAGGACCGCGTGGCGAGCATCCGGGCCATCAACGGGACGTAAGGAACCCATTCCCCACTCTTGCCCCTGCCCCGTCCTCTGGCTCCAAAGAGAATCTCTGTTCACTGTGTTTCCTACACAGCAGCCACTCCCTGCTCTTCTAGGTCCTTTCCATAATCCTGGTCCTTCTTACCAGGGTAAGAAGTGACATAGTGGTTCTTTAGGTATGACCTGAATAGCACATAGGAGAGTACATAGTACATCACCTCCTTCCTTCTAGGCTTAATACCTCTGTTAATGCAATCTTAAGATCACCTTCCCTTTGTCAGTGACTGCATCTCACCCTATGTGCTTGAGATCTGGGGTTGAGCCTTGAAAGGTGCCACCTTTCCCTGATGATAATTTATTTAACAACTTTTTACTGAGCATTTCTATGTGCAGAGTATGGGGACAACAAGAATTACATAGCCTCTGCGGTCAGGAATGTCAGTCTGCTAGGGAGGCAAGTAGACAGGTATCCACAATTCACTGTGATCAGGATTATGATGGGGGACACACTGGGGCTCTGGGAGTCCCCACCATGCACTTGATTCAGCCCAGGGGAGTCAGCAAGGGCTTTCCTGGAGGAGGAGACACATGAATTGAGATGTAAAGAATATGAATGAAAGGGGAGTTGGACACGATAAGACAAGGAAGAGTGTTCCAGGCAGAAGGAACAGCATGTGGAAGGGCTCAGAGACACTCCGCTTCAAGGAAAGTAGAGTCAGAGAGGTTGGAGTACGGGGTGTGAAGAAGGAACGTTGAGGGATGAGGCTGGAGATGTTTCGCGAAGGAGCAGGGGAGGGAATTTGAATTCATCCGGAGGGCACTGGGGAGCCAGGGAGGAATTTAGGCAGGCAGAGAGCATGGTCAGACGCTGGCTTTAAAAGGATTGGTCTGGCTGGAGGCAGGAAGCTGACCGTCCTCACCCTGACCTTGGTACCTGGCAGGTGGGTCGGCTATGAGTTCCCCGGCTACCGCGGGCGCCAGTACGTGTTCGAGCGGGGCGAATACCGCCACTGGAACGAGTGGGACGCTAACCAGCCGCAGCTGCAGTCTGTGCGCCGCATCCGGGACCAGAAGTGGCACAAGCGGGGCTGCTTCCTCAGCAGCTGAAGGGCACCCAGGCCCCAGTGGCCCAGGCCCGCCCTGGGGGGGCAGCAGAGGCAAGAAGAGGAGGCTTCAGGGCCAGGGTGATGGTCTGCCTGTCCCCCCTTCCCCGGAATCTGCTCAATAAAGCCTGGGGCCGGTCCCCCACCTGCCATGTTCCTCTGCGTTCACTTCTTGAGGGGGCTGGGGCTTTAGGGCTCTGAGAACCACCAAGGGGGGCAGTGAGCTGGGTTCCTACCCTAAGCTCTAGTTGTTTTAGGCAGAATCACATGCACATCTTGCACTGATTTTGTGTTTGTTTTCCTGTCTGTGTTTCCATCTGTCAGTCTGTCCATCCATCTATCCAGCTATCTATCTATGCTTCCACCCACCCATCTTTCTATCCATCCTTCCATCCATTCATCCATCAGTTCTTTCCATCAATTCTCCCATTGATCCATCTATTCTCTCTCCCATCCATCCATCCATGTCCATCCATCCATCCATCCATCCATCCATCCATCCATCCATCCCATTGATCCATCCATTCTATCTCTCTTCCATCCATCCATCCATCCATCCTCCCATTGATCCATCCATTCTATCTCTCTCCATCCATCCATCCATCCATCCATCCATCCATCCATCCATCCATCCATCCATCCATCCATCCTCCCATTGATCCATCCATTCTGTCTCTCTTCCATCCATCCATCCATCCATCCATCCATCCATCCATCCATCCATCATGTCCCCCTCCATCTCTCTGTCAGTGTCTATTTTCATTAATTTATTCAGCAAATGCCAGGCCCTGTCCAAGGCCTGAGGACACAGCAGGGAACAAAACAAAGTCCTGCTCTCATGGAGTTCACATTCTAGGAGAGAGGCAGGAGACAAACAAGTAGATTCTGAGTCCACCAATTGTGCTATGGGCAGGAAAGTGCAATATTATGATGGCAGGTGATGGGGGGTGCTGGTCAGAGAACTCTGCTCTGAGGAGGTGACATTTGAGTTGAGACCTGAATGAACCATGAGAACATTCCAGCCAGAGGAATAGTGGGTGTGAAGGTCCCAAGCAGGAGCGTGGCTGGGTGATGGAGACTTGGCAAGGAAAGCAGTCGGTCTGGAAAGGAGTAAGCAGTAGAATGGGGGAGTGGTCAGAGGAGGCGTGGGGTCAGGGTAGTTAGGGCTCCACAGACTCTCGTCTGAAGGAGGTGGGAGCCATGGAGTGTCTGAGTGAGGTGAGACATGACTTAACAGGATTGTTCCGGCTGTGGAACAGAGTGTAGACCACGGGGCTATGGGGGAGGCAGGGGGACAAGCCGGGAGGCCACTAGCTGAGCCATGATGGTATGATCTCCCGGACTCTCTCTTTTCCTTGCATCCATAGCTCTGTCCACCTCCTACAGGTCTTCTGCAGCCTTGGCTGGGGGACCGAGACCCCATCCCACCTCCCACCGCTGACCGTGACAGCTCTGAGCCTCTGTTCCTTCATCTGGTTGAAGTGGTTGCCACGGCAGTGCCACCCATAAACGGGGGTCTCCTCTGGCCCCCAGTGGGAAGAAGAGGGAGTGTTCCCTCTGCCAGTCAGGTGACAGCTGGCTTCCTGCAGTCCCAGGGACCTGCCCTCAGCCTTCCCACCTCCATGAGCCAGTCCTGCGTGTTTCCCTGACTTGGTTCCCCTGTTGTGCCCAGAGCCGGTCCCAGCCACCTGCAGCCTGCCCCTGCAGCTGATGCAGCTGGTGTGTGGGAGGCTTGAGGGGCCTCAGGAAAGCATTGAGAAGAATGCAGCAATTGTCAGTTACTTCAGCCTGTATATTTAAAAAATATGTATGCACAGCTGATCAATCACCTTGAATTATTTTTACTTTGGTGTGTAGGGGAGAGCTGGGTGGGGCGTCAGGCTCGGGGTGGAAGGTGAGGGGCCCCCAGCAAGGCGGACCAAAGGCTGGGTTGACTCCCACCCCCAGCAAGGATGGCAACACCCCACTCCCCCCACCTCCCCCTGCCCCCAAGATTCCCTCTTCCAGACAGAGACCTTGTTTTGCTTTGTAAATCAGTCCTTACTCAAAGTGCTAGGGCTGTTTGGACATTGTCTGGGTCACTGAACCCTAAGATGACCTTGGAAGGCAGGCACCGTTACTCATCCTATTTCACAGATGAGGAGGCTGAGGCTCAGAGACTCAGCATCACCTTCCCGGGGCCGCACATACAAGAAGTGCTAGAGCTGAGGTTTGCCGTCTGTGTGCGGACGCTGGAACTTTCACTCCTAAGCCCCGCCCACGGTGACATGTCCCTCAGGGGCAGGGACACACGGCAGAGAAGAAAATCAACAGTAGCAACAATAATAATAAAAGCCACCCGACTGTCCCCCCAGTGTGCAGAGTATGCCGCTGGGTGCTTTACGGTGTCATCTCTAATCTACTGACAGGCGGCGCAGATCCCCGTGTGCAGAGAGGGCAATGGAGGCCCCGAGCCCTGAAGCAAACTGCCTGAGTACCAGAGCTTTAGAGGGTGGGGCTAGGACTCAAGTTCACTTCTGCCTCCAAAGCTCATCCCCCTCCCAACACCCGCCCGCCGGCTGTCCATGCTCTGCTTGGCCCGGGGTCTGCAGCTGGGCTGACTCTAGAGGTGGGGTGCCGCCGGACCCAGATCCAGGGGGATCCAGGAGGTCACTGATGTCTGAACGACTGTCCAAAGCCTCAGACCCATCTGGGTCAGGGAGGGCTTGCTCTCTGCAAGAACTCCAAGGCATTTTCCCATTCAATCCTCCTAACAGCCCGGGGAGCTCAGAGAGGGAGAGCTGACTGCTGGGGTCACACAGCCTGGGAGGGGCAGAGCTGATTTTGGACCCCAGGCCCATCTAACTCCAAAAGGCCACTCTTAGCTCCCACCTAGACTCAAATTCTAGCTTCTGCAGGGACAGAGCTTGAGAGGGTTAGTAAAGTAAGAGTATCTCTTGGTGACAGGCGGGTGAGGGCGAGGGTCAGGAAATCACTTTAGCTGTTTAATCGAGAGGCAGTGTAGTCTCCTGGTTAGAGGCAGCATGGTCAAGGGGTTAGAGGCAGAATGACTGAGTGGGGCTCTTGATCCATACCACTTGGGGTCCTTTCCAGGCTCTACCACTTACTGTGTGACTTCAGGCAAGTGGCCTAGCCTCTCTGTGCCTTGGTCATCCATAACTCAGGGCTAAACAACACTATCTATCTCATAGGTTGTTGTGAGTATTAACACGAATGTAATTTGCAGGAAGGGCTGAGAACAATGGGTAAAACAGAGGAACTGCTAGGTAAGTGTTCATCTTCCTCCTCATCATCAAAAAATGGTGACCCTGGAGATGGGCTCCATGGCTGTGTGGAGCAGGGGCTTCCCAATTACTCAGTAACGGGGGTTCGTCCTAAGGATGCCAGGGCAAACCAGGACATAAGGCAACTAGGCTGTATGGTGAGAATGCAAACAGTAGCAAGGCTTCACCAGGAAGAGGGGACCCTGGGGGCAAGCGGGCTCATGGAGGCAGGACTCTCGGAGCCCAAGGACTCTTGGGAGCTGGGCAGCAGGCTCTGTGGGCACTCTCCTGGGACCCCAGCCTTGGAGATCTTCAGCGAATGCATCTCCCACTCCTCAGGCGGGAACTTTGCCAAGCATTCTTCCCTGTTTTGTAGAATCACGGGGCCCGTCGTGGTGTTGCCCATGGAGTTGGCATCACTGATAAATTACCGGTGGGCCAGTCTGTTCGTGTGGCGGTATTAGGTTCAAGATGATTCTTCAGAGGCATGTGAGCATGTCAAGTGCATGTTCCATTCAATATTACCTGCCTATCCAAACCTGTCTATGATGAGTAGCACAAACGCCTCAAATCCCTTTCTTACTTCATCTGGTAGAATCGCTGTGTCCAAACCTTTCATATCGAAATACATATCACTACATATTTCATTTGATCATTCCTTTATATTATAGTCAGGGCATTTTACGATGCATTTATTTTGAAAGCATATATGTAGGTGGATTAGAGGATCAATTTTATTCCAGGAAAGCAGAGGGGCTCTCACCAAATGATCGTCATGAGAAGGGAGTGTTCGTTCTGGTAGAGTTGAGAACTTTTCCACTTGAGGGTCTCGAAGGTTCTTCCGGCTCTGGCTCCTGTATGTTTAAGGAGTGAACTGTGTTTGGGGACACCAAGGCCTATTGTCCCTGTAACAAGGTGAGGCAGAGAGGAAGGTCAAGCCCTCTCTCTCCATGTATCGGTCAGGCTATGCTGGGTAACAAACAGCCCCCAAGTCTTGGTTGTTTAACAACAATGGTTTATTTCTCACCCCATGTCACATTTCTAATGCTGGTCTAATGCTGGTCTCCTTCACCCAGTCATTCATAGACCCAGGCTGGCAGAGGCTTCACCCTCTTGCAACGATGCATCTCAGCGAATGGAAGAGAAAGGGCTGGAAAGTCTGCAATAAAATGACAAGACTTCTGAGACATCTCAGAATCCACTGGCCAGAATGAATCACATGACCCCACGTCATTTCAAGAAGACCCAGTGGCAACCTGCTCATGCATACATACACCCTACTGGCTGCCTTCCCTTCCCTGCTGATTCTTCCTGGGGTCACTTCTCAAATAAACTACCTGTCCTTGAACCCTTGTCTTAGAGTCTGCTTCCGGTCACGCCCAAACTAAGACACCTTCACTCATCTCTGTATTTCTTATTCACTAATTAATTCAACCAGTCAGCAAATACCTTCTGAGCACCTACTGTGTGCTGGGTCTAGGCAGGCACTGGGGCTACGGATGAGACCAAGCCCAGCTCTGATCGAGCTCATTGTCTAGAAGAGCAGATGGCTCAGGACACACCCAAAGCCAAGTGCGTTGAGGTCCCCCCCCAACTAGAGCCTTCAGTGGGCACATAGTCCTGCTTGATTTCAGATTTCTGGCCCCCAGAACTGGGTAACAATACATTTCTGGGGGATGGGCTTCTTCGGACATTATTTTTATGGTGCAAAAATATACTACATAGCATCACATTTACCATTTTAATCATTTGAAGTGTGCAGTTTGGCAGCATAAAAGTACATTCACGCTGTCGTGTGACCAGCACCACCATCCACCTCCAGAACTTTCTCATTGTCTCACACTGAAACTCTGGGCCTGTTGAACACTAACCCCCCGTTCCTCCCTCCCCCAGCCCCTGGCACCCGCCGTTCTCCTTCCTGTCTCTATAAATCTAGCTCCTCTAGGAATGTCACATCGGGGGCATCATGCCTCATTTAGATTTAGCGACTGGCATATTTCTCTTAGCATCATGTCCTCGAGGTTCATCCATGCCCTAGCACAGGTCGAATTCCCTTCCTTTTTAAGGCTGAATTGTATTCCATTTTGTGGATACGTTTCGTTGATCCTTTCATCTGTCAAGGAGCATTCGTGTTGTTTGCACCTTTTGGCTGCTGCGGATAATGCTGCTGTGAACGTGGGCGTCCAAGGATCTGTTCGAGGCCCTGCTTTTGATTCTTGGAGGCTGAATACCCATAAACAGAAT